TTTTTTTTTTTTTTTTGGTTGCAGCCATCATTGTTGTTTGGCAGGCCCGGGCTGGGGATTCGAACCCACTACCTTAGGTGTATGTGGCTGGCGCCTTAGCCGCTTGAGCCACAGGCGCCGAGCCCAGTTTAATGTATTTTAATACCAAACTTACAGAAACAACACAGAAGACAGACAACATTAAAAACATGTGCTTGCATGTAGGACAACTCAGAAAAGTATAGTGAATGGATGGAATCTGCTGTATGATAAAATGCTACAAACGCCATTTAGTTTCCGTCAGTAAGAAATTTACTTGTTTTAAAAATATCCAAATGCTGGCATTGTCCAGAAAAATTTAACAGGTTTACTTATAATTGTTATAAAGTTGAACTGCTGAAACTTGTTCACTGAAACACTTTGACTCGCTTTACTGCTGCACATCCTCGCATTTTAAATTAAAAATTCACACACAAATAAAAATGGAAAAACTGCCAATACCTGATTTCTGTCCCCTATTTTTCCAGTCGCAATCATATACTTTTGACCCCGTGGGGGGAAGAAGAGAATTTTTTTTTTTTTTTTTGACAATGAAATGTTTCCCATCATAGTGGACTCCTAAGCACGTTCTCCAGGTATGCGGCGTGCTAGCTGGATGTCTTTTGGCATAATTGTTACACGTTTGGCAGGTTGGTGTCTTAAAAAAGGCCAACCAGATAGGCCTCCCTTGCCTCCTGCAAAGCACCAATAGCTGAGCTCTGGAAGCGCAGATCTGTCTTAAAGTCCTGAGGAATTTCTCGCACCAGACGCTGGAAAGGAAGTTTGTGAATCAGAAGTTCAGTGGGCTTCTGATAATGTCTTATTTCACGGAGTGCCACCTTACCAGGCCTGTAGCGATGAGGTTTCTTCACCCTTCCAGTAGAGGGCGCAGTCTTGCGAGCGGCTTTTGTAGCCAGTTGCTTCCTGGGTGCTCTACCACCCGCGGATTTGCGAGCGGTCTGCTTTGTAGGAGCCATGGTATAAAGACCTCCTTACTTACCCCCCTTCTTCTGCTGGAGCTCGGCGAGCTAGAGGCGGCGCTGGCGTTAGATAGTGACGGCAGTGCCTGCGAACACAATTCTGTTCACAGATCTCATTTGAAAAGTACATGCAAATTAATGGCCCTCAAACAGCTCTCTTTATCTCTTAGAAGTGAGATCTTTTCTTTTAAGTCCACTAATTAGAAAGATGTTGTAAATATAAGTAGCTGATTGACTGATTTTGAAACGGGATCTTGCTTTATTGCTCAGACTGCAGTGTAGTGGCCCAATTATCATTCAATGTAACCTCGAATTCCTTTGCTTAAATGATCTGCCTGCCTCAACTTCCCAAGTCACTGGGACTACAGATACATGCCGCCCATACCCAGCTAATTTTAATTTTTTTGTAGAGATCCAATCTCTACAAAACTCTATTGCACAGGCTTGTCTGGAACCCCTGGCCTCAAGTGATCCTCCCATCTCCAGTTCCCAAAGTGCTATGATTATGATTAGAGGCATGAGCCACTGCACCTGGCCTGACTTTTATTGATTGATTGATTGAAATGGAGTCACACTTTGTCACCCTCAGTAGAGTACTGTGTTATCATAGCTCACAGCAACCTCAAGATCTTAGACTCAAGTGATCCTCTTGCCTCAGCCTCTCAAGTAGCTGGGACTATAGGCACCCACCACGGCTATTTTTAGAGATGAAGTCTCTCTCTTTTTTCTTTCTTTCTTTTTTTTTTTGCTGTTTTTGGCCTGCCACCTCTGGCATGTGGGACTGGCGCCCTACTCCTTTGAGCCACAGATGCCACCCAATGAGGTCTCGCTTTTGCTTAGGCTGGTCTCCAACTCCTAAGCTCAGGCAATCCTCTGGCCTTGGCTTTCCAGAGTGTTAGGATTACAGGTGTGAGCCACTCTGCCTGGCCTCTGATTTTTTTAAAAAACATAAAATGCAAGGACTCATTAGCTGGGCACAATTGCACACCCATAATCCTTTTTTTTTTGCAGTTTTTG